GGGAATGATTCAATCTAGCTGATCCTGCCTTGTGATGTGGGGTCGGACTAGAAGTTCCTGCAAAGACCCTTCCTGTGCTGCCTTCTCTCGCTGTGCATGTGTAGAGCTGGTTAAATTTAATTTATTCTGGCCTGCTTAATAGCAGAAGCCATGAGGCGCTGTTAGACTATGGTCTGACTTAAATATATAGATCTAATTAAAGTCAGATGCATAAATAGGAGGTGGGAGCAAGACATTTAACATATGACACTGCATGGAACTGATCCCATTTCTTTGCTTAGTGCAAGTTGTCTAGGTTGTAAATAGCTGTCATTTTTTCCCCGCGTACAACTGATTTTGGGAACCTTTACATGGAAATGAAAAGACTGCAGTCTGCACCTTGCTCTGGTGAGGCAACCTGTGCTACTTGAAACGCTCTTAAGGACCTGCCAGGAAGCAGCGTTTTGATTTTTATCCATCCCATTAATGAATATTCATCAGTGTTCTTAAGGGTTGTGCTATTTTCCTGCTAGCTGGCATATCCTTCCTCTTCCCACTTCTAGTCTGTGTTGCTAATGACCTGCAGATCACACAGCCTGTGCTATAGGATTTGTTTTTAATTGTTTCTAGGTGAACATTAGGAATTTCAATAGCGGCAGAGCTGGAACCAGCTCAAAAATACCTTGTCTTGGTTACTACGTGACTGTCTGGTTTAATGCCTGAAATAAAATCTTGCCTTTTTGGTCTGTCATTCAAACTTCACATTAAACAGCAACAGAAGTGCGTATCTCTGGAGAGCAGGTGTTCCTCTGCTAAGAGCTTTCCTGGCGTTTCTGTAAGCTCAAATCATGGCTTGTCCCTATCAGCAGCTTTCAGAAATGAGGCTCAGGAGGTGTCAGAAGCAGGTGGAAGATGCCCCACGGAAGATGAGGAGGGGATGTTTGGTTGGACACCTTTCCACTTGATGCATAGGTGTTCTGTGCTGGGGGGTCCTTGGGTTTTGTTATTCTCCCTCCCTCTTGACCTTGGGAAAGAAACTTCCCATTGGTCTCAAACCCCTCCTGGAAACTCACGGATTCCAGCAGATGCCTAATGGATTTGCTCTGGTGCTGGCAGCCTGGGAGCTATGATGAGAGAGATTTCATGGCAGCTGAAATTCCTCAAATGGCTGCAATTTTATAGGTGCAAGATGCTGGATGTGAAATGAGGTTCGGGGCTCTTGGAGAAGAGGGGACCTTCTGGACTGAGCACGGAGTAATCCCGCAGCCCAGGATTTTCCTCTGTAAGGATGGAAGAAATGCCTCCCATCTCTCTCAGGTTCAATGCTAATTTTGCTGCGTGTTAAAAGTACTCGGTCAAAAGCAATTTCAAGGTCCAATCCTCAGTTAAACACGTAAAACCCGAATTTTCTGCAAGGACTTTATGGTGGGTAGCTGAGGTTTGCTGCTGCGAATGCTGCAGGGATGGCTGGGCTGGGTCGGAGCGCAGGCGTACAGCCGTGTATTTGTAAGCTGGTGTTTAAACTCCTTAAAAATCCCATTTTGCTGGTCAGTTTGCTTGCTGGGATGTTTCTTTGCTGTGCTCGCTCCTCACAGGCGGTCCTCCCAATTTGCTGTGGACTTCCATCACGGACGGTAACTCTTTTGGTGCAGGAATCTGTTGCTTGGCAGGTCCTTGGCATTTGCGTGGTGTTTTGTGTGTGGCTCCCTGCTGCTCGTTTCCTCTACCTGCTCTGCAGGTTGGAGAAGTCCGGAGAACCCAGCAAACCAACCACTCACTTAGGCAGGACGTGAACACTGTGTAGGAAAGTCGGAAGTACCAGCACCGGGCGATTTTATCAGCTGAAATCAGGTCTCGTAAATATTTACGGGGATTGCAGCTAGGGTTTATCTTAATTAAAGCCAAATAAAAACCTGTCTTGAAAAAGATCCACCCAGCCAGTGGTTGCAAGTGGATAATGCTTCAAGGTGGGGTGAGAATAGGTGATATTTCCCAGTCATTTGCAGCCCGGGGCTTCCAGGGCCTCGTGGTATTTCCACGTTTTAGTTGTCCTCGAAGCTCTGGGGTTTGTTTACCTGGTGGCATCGAGCAGATACAGCTGTTCCAGCAGCTGCCTACACAATTTGTCACCCCGCTGTGACCAGCTTGCAGAGGGTGTTGTTCTTGCAGGCCGTTTTGTTCTGCCCGTGGTACCCGCGGGAGCAGTGTGCCAGGGATTTGCTCCAGGAGGGGGGCCGAGGGGAGCAAGATTGCCCAAACCATAAATGTCCAGCTGAATGGGAGATATTTGGCATGTAAACCGTCTCCTTTCTCCTGTGCCGCCTTGTCCGGGTGGGTGGCTTGGATTCCTCCTCCTCTCCAAGTAACGGGAAGCGCAGCGCTACAGAGCAAGTACTCAGACCTCTTTTTTTCCCTCAGGATCTAGTACCTAGGAGGGAGGGACGCAGAGGATTTTGGCCATGGCTCCAAGAAAAAGAAGCGGCCGAGGGATCTCGTTCATCTTCTGCTGCTTTCGGAGCAGCGACCACCCGGAGATCACGTACCGGCTTCGCAATGACAGCAGCTTCGCCCTGCAGACCATGGAGCCCGCGCTGCCCATGCCGCCAGTGGAAGAACTGGATGTCATGTTCACTGAGCTCGTGGTAAGCAGGACCCTTTTCTTCTTCTTCTCCTTTTTTACCCTCCATTTATTCTCCCCAGTGAAGGCAGAGCTGCTTGTGAGTTTTCAGACAAGTTTTGTTGCAAAGGGAACATGGGAACCTGATGTTTGGAGTGGTTTTGTGCTGAACCTTGATCTCCAGCGTGCTGTGCTCGTCTCTGAAATACCTTCCATGCTTTCAAAGTCAGGGCAGGATGGCTGTCAGTCCTGGAGTTAGCCCCGCACCTGCAGGCAGCCTCTTCTCTTCTCTTTCCTCTGTGGCTGTTTCTCCTTTTGCTCACAAAGAATTGATTTTTTTAGAGCTGATTGCATGTGTGTATCCAACCAGGTGGGTGCAATTGGTCCTAGGGGGTTGCAGGCTCTGCCAGCACAGATGATGCCTTAAGTGGCTTCAGCCTCCCTGGAGAAGGGAGCTTAAAAGCCCTGGAACAGCAAAGTCGTTTGCTTGTCATGTTGTTTCGGGTGTGATGTTCCTCGGATGCCTGGACCAACCACACAGGTGGTTTGGGTGCTGCTAAGACTTGGCTTGTTTCAAGTGATGCCGTCTCTGTGTCAGCCAGTTTCCCTGTCCCGCAGGTTTCCCCGGGAGCTGGGGAGGAGAGGACAGCTGCTCGCAGCGGGATTCACTTGAGGATCATCTGTGGGAAGAGATGGGGCACAAGCGGGAGTTGAAGAGGGCTCTGGGTTGTGTTATGAGAGTTGCACTTGACCAGGCAACCTGCTCCGTGGGGGAGGTTGGATGACAGGAGGTTCCCAGACTTGGATGCCTGTAGGATGGTGCCCCATGGCAGGGAGAAGCCATCCTTTCAGCAGGGTGTGAGTTGCCCTTGTAGCCACCTGGGAAACCACCATCAATCAGATTTGATTTGTTCAGGCTGAAAAAAAACTGCTTTGTTCTGTCTGCTTTTTCTTGACTGATAACTTAGATGAAATTTTCCTGTGGAAACTTTTTCCAGTGGAAAATTCCTGACTTGCCCCAGCCAGATAAGAGCTTGTTGTGTTGCAGGCTTGGCATTGCCAGGCAGGCTGCAGGAAACATCTGCCAGACTCACGTGCTGGACACGCACTGGAGTCCAAGCCAGCTGCATGCAGCATCTCAGGTCAGCGCAGGGGTCTCAAAGGATCTCTCCAGATTCAGCGCTGTTGGTGTCGGGTATTAGATTTCATTGCTGGTCAAACAGCTTGGAAAGTGTCCTGCTGTTTCTGTGTAAACCCTCTGTGCAAGGCTTGGATCAGAGACAGAGATGCACTTGGAGACACTGGGCTGGTTTTTATGCCTGCTGAAAGACGTCACTTGAAAACGTGTCAGTCCAGCTGCTGCTGGGCCTTCACAAGGCTCGACAGGGCCTTGTGCCCACTTTGTTGCGCCAGAGATCCCTTGGAAGAGCCCGGTTGTCTGGATGAATTGGGTTGAGGAAGGTTAGGGGAGCTAGAGAGGCCCTGGAGGCTTTGCCAGCTGAGGTTGGTGCTTGGCCAGGAGCTCCAGTGAGCCATGGGCTGCAGATAGAGGGACCTTAGGAATGGCTGCTGTCAGCAGTGGGGGTGTGAAACTTTAAAAAATATTCTTGTGCCCCTAAATCAGCATGGAAATGTCATCCAACTGCAAGACTTTCCTGAGACAGTGGGATGAGGAGGAGTGGTGTCGTGACTTCTGCTGCAAGAGGGGCCTGAGGCAGAGAGGTGAAAGGGTGACCCCAAAGTCATGCAGAAAGTTGGCAAATCCAGATCAGGATTCCTGTCCTGTGTCTTTCCCACAAGGCTGCCTGCTTTCCTGCCATCCTTGGAACTTCCGAGCTTACCCAAACATGCATGCACCCTCACGTGGATGCAAACATGCATGCATCCTCACGTGGGTGCATGCATCACCCACCTGTATGTATCTCAGCCAAGCTCACTGTGTCTTTTTGCTCCTTCCCTTCAGTCCTGGACTGCAGGTGACCCACACTGGAGATGTCCTGGGCCTGGCAGTGCTTGTCCAGCTGTGCTGGGACACAGTGAGGGAATTTGGTTGGCACATGGAGAAGAAGCTTGAGTGCAGCAAGCTCTCTGCTCTGCATGTCCTATGCTGTTGTGCACTTCAGAGAGCAAAGTCTTCTCTTTCAATCCATCTTGTGAAAAATTCTCTGGGTTTAGGGTATTTTTAAAAATGTGCTTGTTTGCATGACATCCTTAGCATAACTGATCAGTAATGGGCTTGGTCAAAGGGCAGAGAATGAGCGGGTGCAGATGGTTTTAGAGCAGCGTTGGTCTCTCCAAGGCCTGGTCATATAAAAGCTCAACTCACCTTCCTGGCCTGTATTGTATGGGCTGCCCTCTGGATACTTTGGATTGTATCTACTTGACTTCCAGCTTCTGCCAAAAAGATTTGTTTTTATGCTGATAGTCTCCAAGAACTTCTCAGGTGGAACGAAAAAGGGGATTGGTTTCTTGTCCAGCCCCAGGCGTGAGCAGATTAGACAGTAAAAAAGTGCCCAACTTGCAACCTGGATAGCGAGGAAGATACATCCCGTCCTGGCTGGGAATACCTAGCAGCCCGCTGCTTTCCCTGCCTCAGGAACATGCAAATACCGTTACTTTGGTCAAGGCATCATCTCTGGTTCCTCCCAGAGAAGCCTGTTCCTTTCCTGTGCTTTTGGCCCCGAGGTCAAATGACCTTTTATCCAAGCCAGGCTTTCATCCGAGCATTATTGGGATGTCACTCAAGGGGGCACTGACCCCTTTTGAGAAACTTTTCTTTGTCCCGTGTCCCGCAAGGGCTTCGGCCAGCGCTCGCCGTGCTCGGACCACGGACATCGGAGCCACGCGAGGGGGGTATCCGCTGCTCCGAGCACCGGGAACAAAGCCGTGCCATCTGCCACGGCCGCTTTCAGGAGGCTCCCGCGCACCCCGGCTCACAATACGGCGTCTCTTCAAAGGCCGAGGCCTTCCCCTGTGCTACGGGACGGCCCTCGCGGGGAGACGCATAATGGCGCCATATGGCAGCTCCCGCCGTCACGAGCCGCTCTGTTCTCGGCCTGCGCCCAGGCTTTCTGCCAGATGGGTGAATGACTGATGTCCTTTAGAGCTGCTTCACGCTCCTTGTCACTTGTGAGGTTTTTAATGAAGCGCTCCGTGTGTGGCGGTGCGTGTCAGCCCCGCAGGACGTGCGCTTCATGGATGGGTGGCGACTCAGGGGAGTTGAATGGGTTGATGAGGAAAGGTCAGAGTGAGTCCAGGCATTCACTGGGTCAGACCCAGGAGTGCTGGGGTCTGTTTGAAAGGAGGGTGAGGAACCGGACACCTTTGCACACGTGTTTTACATCCTTATTAGAGGACACAGCAGGCTTGTCATCCTGGTGTGTAGCACCCACGTTGGTCCTGTGCTTCAGAGGAGCACAGAGAGGCACTACCGTCTTCCTGGGATTTTGGGCCTACCCTGCATCTGTTTGGCCATTTCCAGGCTTGTATCTAATCTGCATGAGCAGATTAGACAGTAAAAAAGTGCCCAACTTGCAACCTGGATAGCAAGGATGATGTGCTGGGGCTTTGGTCCCTGCTGGTGTCTCCAGCTTAATCCACAGCAGCAGTTGCGATAACAGCCCACAGCTGCACCTAAATTTAGCTGCAGGTTGAGCTAGGAACCATTTCCCATTGGGTTCTTGCCTTCTTTGAAATCATTTGAATTAGATTTAGGACTCATTTTGGAAAAGGAGTTACAGATATTGGGCACTAGGCCGTGCGTCCCTGCTTCCCCCGGGCATGTGGTGCCATTACTGTGTTCAGTGAAGCTTTCTGCAGGGGTGAAGGAGAAGGGTCCAACCTGCCTTCATCCTAGCACCTGGGAGCATCACGTGAAGCAGCACCCTGCAGGTGGCCTCCTGACCCTTGAAACGAAGTGCCAGATGCTGCCTGGCACCTGGAGATGCCCTGGAGATGCCCTGGAGATGCTGGTGTGATCACTTACTCAGAGCAGCTGATGGCAGCTGCTGTAGAAGATCAGAGACTGGCCTTGACTCTTCTTTTTTTGCAGCTGGTGAGAGCTGAGTGCTCTCAGAAGCAGTTTGGAAGGTGAGTTAGACTTTTAAGGAATTAACCACTTGCTGGTCCCTGTGGGGCTTCTCAGTGCTTTGGTGAGAGCAAGGCATCCCTTTTCCCCTCCTGCTTTTCTTTAGGAACACAGAAGAAATGAGTGCAGCCATGCATCTCACCCCGTATCCTGCCTGGGATGTGCAATAGCCAGTTTTTAGTAACAGGCTAGAAAGCCAGAGCAGGTACAGAGAGGATCTTCCTGCAGTCTCTCCTCCGGTTCCTGGCAGCCATCAGGCTTTGGACATTTGCAGAGGGCGACTCGGCAGTGTCCGCAGCCCCCTCAGGCTCTGGAGGAAGGCTCGTGCGTGGAAGATGTCAAACGGCTGATGCTGCACATTATTTGTGACCACATTGAGTGGGGATCTGCTGGAGGGGAGATATTCACACATGTTCTCTCAAGTGCTGTGATTTATTTCTTCCCCTCCCCTGACATGGAAGTCTGCTCTGTCGCTCTGTTCAGATTTATGAAGTAGCTGGAGTTCGGGAGACTGAAGGGGAAAAAAATAGTTACCGTCAGTTTATATTATTCAGGCGTTTGTTTTTGCTGTCCCTGTGGCAACGAAGGGACTTTATCAGAGGCAAGAGAGCTGCTCTTTGGATGAGGACCATTTGCAGCAGATAGCATCTCAAGTCACGAGGATTCACTCTGCGTTCCCTTGAGATGCTCCATGCTGGGTGGCTTGTTTACAGCTGAGATGATGTGGGGTGCTGGGACAAGGGTGTCTCTGAACCTGGACTTTCACCCAGCTTTACGAGCAGCACCCACATGAGCCTCAAGTATCTCCTGAGCAGCCGCAGCAAGGAAGGAATTTGTTACGGCCATATCCAGTTTTACATAGGGATGTAAGTAACGTGCTTTCCTTTCCCCTCCGTTGGTTTCTGATCCAAGGAGGAGAAAGCACGATGCTTTTTGCC